AGGGAACGGAATGAAAAGTATGGCCGATTCATTGCAAGATTTCTACCCTAAACGTCCCTATAAACTTATATTCGATGTGGTTTCTTGTCGTAAATCAGATCTTGCATCTCACAACGTTGCTCAAAAGATAATCTCGTTTCTGACTTGAATGGCTTCGTTAATCGCTCCTTGAGATAAGACGAAAAGGTCGTGATATATAAGAAAAAACCCAGACGTTTCTCCAAACCCCGAGATCAAGGAACAATCAGCAATTGGGCTCACGATAGCGATCTTTTTGAGAAAATAATTGAGGAATGCATCTTACCAAAACACAAAATCACAGAGTTTGAGCCCTACCATCCTCAACAATTCTCTCAAAGTAACTTTTCTCACATGGTCATCTTACCTGCTATCACCGAGCCATTTCAGTGTTTGACATTAAACTTTAAAAATGTTTTTAAAAATTTTATTTTTTTAATGTTTTCAGAAGTGACATTAAACTTTAAAAATGTTTTTAAAATTTTTAATTTTTTTAATGTTTTCAGAAGTTAAATTTTTTTTTTAATATATTTTAAAATACTCTACTTTCGCATTAAAAAGCAGCGTTTCTCCTCCATTGCATCAAGAACAAAAAAACAAAAGAGTGTTTTGTCTAATTCTGCATTATTTCTCTTGCTTGAGCATGGAACATTATAACCTCACTTGATTAATCCGAAGCCGCCTTGCCATCATTGCTGAAAGAAATCAAAGAATGGTGGGGACGCCACAGATATTCATCCTACGTAACGGTAACATTCGTGCTTCTTGGGGAATAAAAATAAGAACTCATGTTCTTAGTTCTTATGTAACAAATGTTTTGAGAATATATTATAATAGAATAAAAATCATGTAATTTTTTATTGGGGTGGTTTAAAAAATATTTATAATTTTTTTTATACTTTATACTTTATTGTTTCGTTTAAGAGATCAAAAGTTTTCTTTTTTAAAAAATAATTTAATAAAAAAATTCTTTTACATGAACATTAATATTTACAAAAATTACCATTACACATTATTAATATTAATGAAATAAATAGTAGAGCTATAGATTACCCCTATATATCATTAATATTAATAAACAAACAATAAAATTATTGAAGATTTTTATATCTTATTTTGCATACAATATTTAATGTTAATGGGAATGTCTTAATCATATCATTAATGTCAATTGAAATATAATTAATTCAAGGACTTTTTATACAACTAGAATTGTAGAGGAATATAACTAACTTGTAAAAGGACTTTTTATACACCTAAAAATATAGAGAAATGATTATTTTATGGTTTGATATTTAGTCAAGTCCACTTACATTTAAATCTAACTTAAATCTAATGTGAACTTGAAGTATTTATGTTTGACATTTTGCAAGATTCACTCACACTTGAGCTCAGAGTATAGTTGAACCCAAGAGAGTTTGGTATAACAAAATACTAAACTCACGGATATTTAAGCTATGTATTTAGCTAAACTTAAAAAAATTAAGTTTAACATCCTGCCAAGCTCACTTGAGCTCAACTCTAATATTTTGTTAAATCCATAGATGTTTGGACTTGACGTATAACTGAATATAAGATAGTTGAGTTTGAAATATTATTAGATCCATAAACATTTTAACTTAATATATAACTGAGTTTAAAAGTGTTAGGTTTTAAAATAGAACTAGACTCAAATTGTTTAGGCTTGTTGTTCTATTAAGATTATAGATGTTAGGTCATTATCTTATTTATTTATTATTAATATAAATATTTAGTCTAATATATACCTCCATTATTTTCACAAACCTCCAACCAGTAATCTCTAGAAAATTACTTAGTGATCAATTAAGTTACATTCCTTAAGATTTTTTTAGATCATTATCTTGTGTTAATGAGTTACGGATAAAATATATCAATAAATCACTAGGAGACCACTTGACCTGACATGACTTTAAAAAAAAATGGTTTAAACGATACAAAGCAAAGGTTTTAGACGACGTTTGAAATCTCATAATAATGATGTGAGGAGAAGAAATACGAAGCAAAATTAGAATGCAGGGATTGTCACATCCCAAAGTTTGCGAGTTGTGGCTGTAGGGACCTGAACCCCAAGATGATGATAAGTCCAAACAACAAACAATTACAAGCCACTCTTCACCATTAGAAAAAAAGGGCGACCACTTCCTTCCTCTAATGTCCAGCCCTGGTCATATTTATATTCCCTCCCATCCTTGAACTCATTCAACAATTCTCTTAAGAGTACTACAGAAATAAATACATAGTCCCTAATGCACCACCATTCTGTTCTTCCTCTGTAAAGTTGAGGTCTACATAACACCGATCTTTGCTCTCTGTTTCTGTCTCTCTCTTCAATAATGGTAACGGCTTGCCTGAACATCTCTACTTTGATACTACATGTTTCATCGGCAATATCTTATTTCTTTTACCATCTCTCAACTGTAACAGGTTTTAGCAACAAGCCACGGTGGGGAAGATGGTGCGCAAGCTGATTCTGCAGTAGACTTTCGGGGAAATCCTGTGGACAAGTCCAGAACTGGAGGATGGCTTTCTGCGGGGCTCATTTTGGGTGCTTCCCATCAACAAGAGCATGTGTGTTACAAAGTACATGTATTGAAGCACTTTGTTAATCTCCACCTTAATTTGTTTTGCAGGGACCGAGCTTTCAGAGAGAATATGCGTCATGGGCATATCAATGAATTTAGTGACATACCTAGTAGGAGAGCTGCATCTTACATCGGCAAAATCTGCAAACATAGTCACCAATTTCATGGGTGCTCTCAACCTTCTCGGCCTCCTAGGAGGTTTCTTGGCAGATGCTAAGTTTGGTCGGTACTTGACAGTTGCTATCTTCGCATCCATAGCTGCTCTGGTAAGCTTCTGACTAAAATATTGCATGCCTACATGCCACTAGCTTAAGAGGATAAAATCTCTGAGAATTTATGTTGCTCTAGTATTGACGTGCCATGAGAGCTGGAAACCGGCTATTGCGTTGAACTTTGATACCCTTTCGGTTCCAGCTAAGAAAACCGGCAGCATATAATTTAATCATTGAGCCGAACATTGATGAAGGTGTCAAAAACATGGACCAAAAAATCAAAGGAACTAGGCCTACCAAAATCTGCGCACAATTATCTCTAATTTCAGGCCACACTGCTAATTCCTTATCATATGCACCAGGGGCTCAGTCTATTAACCATGGCCACAACCATTCCTACCATGAGACCCCCACAGTGCGATGACTACAGGAGAAAGCATCATCAGTGTATCGAGGCCAGTGGAAATCAACTGGCTCTGCTATATGCAGCACTTTATACCACAGCACTTGGTGGTGGTGGGATTAAGTCTAATGTCTCAGGTTTTGGATCTGACCAGTTCGATCCAACAGATCCCAAGGAGGAGAAGGCGATGCGTTTCTTCTTCAATAGGTTCTATTTTTGCATTAGCATCGGGTCATTGTTTGCGGTCATAGTGCTTGTATACATACAAGATAACGTGGGGAGAGGGTGGGGATATGGTATTTCAGCGGGGACGATGGTGATCGCAGTAGCAGTATTGCTCTGTGGGACACCGTGGTACCGTTTCAAGAAGCCTCGAGGTAGCCCATTAACTACCATATGGAGGGTATCACTCTTGGCATGGAAGAAGAGGAAGCACCCTCATCCTTCCCATCCCAGCCTTCTGAATGATTATGACAGTGCCAAAGTTCCCCACACAGAGAAATTCAAGTAAGTTTTGACTTGGCAAAACAATTACTTCAGAAACAATTATTTATTGGCTTATTCTCAGGCCCTTAAGGAAATTTTCCTTCTTATATCCCAGAATTCAATCATCATTACTGTCACTACTGATATAAGTTTGCTCATCTGTTATTCATCAGGTATCTTGACAAGGCTGCAATCATGGATCCCACCTCCAGCGCACAAAAAAATGACCCTTGGATAGCATCGACTGTTATGGAAGTTGAAGAAGTGAAGATGGTACTAAAGCTCATCCCAATTTGGTCTACATGTATCCTCTTTTGGACAGTCTACTCTCAAATGACTACTTTCACCATTGAACAAGCTACCTTCATGAACAGAAAAGTTGGCTCCCTGGTTATTCCTTCAGGTTCCTACTCCACCTTTCTCTTCATCACCATTCTCCTCTTTACATCCCTAAATGAAAGATTCTTCGTTCCCCTGGCTCGAAAGCTCACCCGCAATGCACAAGGACTGACATGCCTTCAAAGGATCGGAATTGGACTCTTTCTTTCAATACTAGCTATGGTGGCTGCTGCTCTCATTGAGAAAGAAAGAAGGGAAACCGTTATTCAACAAAATACAAGGATAAGTGCCTTTTGGCTAGTCCCTCAATATTTCCTAGTGGGTGCCGGGGAGGCTTTCGTTTATGTTGGACAACTTGAGTTTTTCATCAGAGAGGCACCAGAAAGGATGAAATCAATGAGCACCGGGCTTTTCCTTAGCAGCATCTCAATGGGTTTCTTTGTTAGCAGTTTGTTGGTGTCTTTAGTTGACAAAGCTACCAAGAAAATCTGGCTCAGGAGCAACTTGAATAAAGGGAGGTTAAATAACTTCTATTGGATGCTTGCAGTGCTAGGACTGTTGAACCTATTCATTTTCCTAGTTTTTGCAAGGGGGCATCAGTACAAAGTCCAGCAGTATATCAAGCCCAAGAACTCTGAAGAGAAAGAGCTTAAAACTGCAAATGATTTGACTATTTTAGAGATGGTGAAGGAGGAGGAAATGATTTAACTGTCATAAACGTACAAGAGGAAAACAACATTGATGAAAAGGAAGGACCGTAGTCTACATGCTCTCCGAGGCCTTCCTGATGTTCTGAAATTTCTTTACACAGCCTTTAAAAACACAATTATAGAGTGCTAGTTTATGCTCAATTTTCAGACATTGAAAATTGGGCTACTTTAGATGTGATGTTGGGTGTCCATTCATTGTATGATTTAAGACACGATTTTCAGATTCATGTGTTAAAAACCAAGTACTTTTTTAAAATCATTGGTTAAATTACAAAGCTTGTAGATGCAAATGATGTTGCTAATTTTGAAGAATTACATTCAAAACAATGACCTATGAGTCGAAGCAATTGCAAGGATTTAAGACTTTATTTTTCTGACAAAATGCAACTGAAGACTTAATACGAGCTTATACTAAAACCTGCTGGAGCATTCCCATGGCTCTAGGAGCATTCCATTGCATGACAGTCCAACTGCACTTGTGAAGACGCAATGCCTCTAAGGTACGCCTGTGAAGTCTCCTAGTTCCTGGAATGCCCCTCACCAAAGTTATATACAGGTGCGGACTCCATGCAATTGGAACTTGGGCTTTGAAAGCTTTGAATGCATTCATGTTTTCTCTTTTGTACCTGCATTGTACGCTAAAACTTCTTAGCAATGTTATTTTTCATATGGAATGAAATGCTGAAGGGACAGAAACTTTAAGAAGAGATGACTCCAAGTAAATGAATGGAAATACAGAAAATGCATTCAAAAGGAGTAAAGAACATGAAATCTTGTTTGATATATTATATGAAAGGCACACTAATGACAACTGACTGGTACTGAGTATAGAAGGCAGAAGAAACCTGTTCTCTAATGAAATGTCTCGAGAGATAACAAACATGCCCACATTCTGTCTTACTTTATCAGTAAATATCAAGAAATCGAATCGGTAAGACTATTTACAAACCTAGAAATTTAAGGATGTCCCAACTCTTACTCAACAACATTGTGAAAAATTAGGGGAAAACCCCAAAAATCGATAAACCTCCAGCTGATGCGCAAAAATGTCACGTATAGTACCTTCCCCACATTAGTTTTCCCCTTGTTAAATATCTGATTCAGATGAACAAAGCATCCTCTATTCAAGGTACACAGAAAGAATCCAAACAGTAGGCGAGCAAATTCTATCAATGGAATCGCAGTATTAGCACAAAAAGAATTACAAAGGCTCAAACAAGCTACAAAGTTAATACCAAGATAACGAACCGGGTCCAAAACAAAGAGTGCAAGAAATACTATACCAAGACAGCCCACTACGACATAGTAAAGCTCAAGGCAAAGAACAAGAATCAGCAGAGTGCAACTTAATTAGAGAACTCAAGAAATGCCACACACATACACTCTGTGGCATTGCATCGAACAGTTAGCGTGCAAACTTGGAACGAGCTAAAGGCCTTTGCTTGATTAAAATTGACCAATCCCACTTCAAACTTTCCATTGCAAGTTTAATTGGATGCAAATCGAATGAAAATGATGGCTAAAACATATCTAAGTAATTAAACAGCAAGATAACTAGTTTACCACGTTCGTCAATTGAGAGAAAGAACTGACAAGTGATTCCGTCCCCCGGCAGACGCTGCTCGTTTTTCGTTGTGAAATTTGCTGCGGCAGCTATTCAATAGACGTTCATTTTCCTGTGGTGGCTCCTGGGCTATGATTTACCAAGCCCATCATAAAATGCAGGATGAAATAGGCCCACCTCTTTCAAGCTCAGAAATATTTGATTTTAGATTTATCCCAGGTATTAGCGAAGGTCCAATAAGTCTCGAAATTTAGAAGGTCCACAAAAAGACTTGTTACTACAGAACTAACTGCGTAGACAGAAACGATTTACATCCTCAAATAACAGAAATAAAAAACAGAACTAACTGCGTAGACAGAAACGATTTACAGAAATAGTAAAACATAGACACTCAGATAGAAGATTTTGAAAATCTTATGCCCCTAAATCACAAGCTCAACAAAAAACAAAGGATTACTTCAATTGTTTCTTGTAATTGAGGGACTAATTGGCTAGTTTTGAACCCGAAAAGGAAATTCTATATAAACGCAGGAGGAATAACAAAAGACAGGTGGTTCCTGATAAAAGTAAATTCGAACAAAAATGAATAGAAATCTCATGTCAGTTGCTAGAAAAGCGTTAACAAAAGCTCACAATCCCGCCACCAATAAAAAACTGTTTGTTGCAGGTCTGTCTCCGTCACCCATGTATTATTTTTGCTAGACTATCTTGTGTGTGTGTGAGAGAGAGAGAGAGAGTGTGTTGAGATTTTCGTGTGTGTGTGTGTGAGAGAGAGAGAGTGTTGAGATTTGCCCTTACTTTCAGAGATTTTTGTGTTTTCAAGGTTTGTCATGGTCAGTTGACGAGAAGTCATTGAAAGATGCTTTCTCTTCATTTGGAGATGTCACGGAAGGTACTAGTACTTTGCAAAATTATTATGCCATCCATTTGTTCGATGAATTGTCTCAGTGAATATTTCAATCCCCTTCCTTTGTCAAATCTAATCTAACCTAATCTGTGGTGATCTCGAATTCATTGGGATGGTCGTGGTTCAGTGAATATATTGTATGATAGAGACAGTGGTAGATCAAGAGGGTTTGGTTTTGTTAGTTTCTGTAAAGAAGATGAGGCTGTATCTGCGAAAGATGCATTGGATGGAAAGGTGCGCATGGATATTCTTGCTTTCTTTTCATTTTTTGTGTCAGTGGTCGAAGTGCTTCCAAGAATGAAAGAAAATAATTTCATTGCAGGCATTGTTAGGTCGTCCATTGAGAATAAGCTATGCTCTTGAAAGAGTTCGAGGCGGACCCGTCGTTGTGCCTCGCCTTCCAAACGGAGGAGATGAGGGCTACAATGGCAATGCTTGACACTCGTCAGAATCGATTGAACATGACGAAAGGAGATCAAAATGCAGCTTTGATCCCCTTAGTGATAATTTACGAAATTTATTTGGATGAATGTGGTAACAGGCACATCGTTTTGGTTTTGTGCGGCAAGCAAATTTATTATTATTATTTTTTTTATAGCTGATTTTTATTTTTATTTTTCCTTATATATATATATATATATATATATATAGAATAGAAAATTTATATATATATATATATAGAATTGAAAATTAGTGAAAAAATCGAATGATCCTGTCATTACTGTTGATTTTATCGATTTTACCTTATTTTTTAATGAAAAAAGTAGGTATGAAAAGTATATGGAATAAAACTAGGTTTATAAATGTGGCTGTTTAACAATCTTTGAATTGTGTTAAATGTTAAGTATTTTTTTTTGTTTAAAAATATATTAAAATAATATTTTTTAAAATTTATTTTTTATATATTAGTATATTAAAATAATATAAAAATTTTATTTTTTAAAAAACATAGTTAAATCATAATATTAAACAAGTGTGTGTGTATATGTATATCATTGAATTATACATGTTAAGGATTATTCCAAAGACAAATAAACAATATTTTGATTTTAAAATATGACAGTTAAACAATGGATTTGGTGATATTTACTCTAGTCAACCACTAATTTTGATTCTGCTTCTGAGATTATTAATTTAAATCTTATAAATTTTAAAATTATAAAAAATTTATATGATTATTAATTTTAAAATTTATAAAATTAATAAAAATACAAGTAAATTAATTAAATATCAATGTTATTAAAAATTATATATATGTTTTGGACCTCAAATCTTGTTGTCTTGATACATCCATGCAATAAATAAATAAATATATGAGATAAAATAAAAAACTAAAAAATAAAATAAATCCATAGGGCACCATAAAACCTACTTGGCAGACTAAATAAAAATTGAAAAATTATGCCTGGTTTATATATTATGTTTTAAATTGGTACTTTGAAATTAATTGCAATAAAATAGACAATAATCACTCTGGTCATCCACAAGAATAAAACATGAAGCAATATTTTAAATGATTACGTATAGGTCATTATATCTTATTATATTTTAACACTACAATCACATAATATACTAACTTCAAGTAAAATACAATAGACAAATGCATATAATGTAATATGTTTTTTTGTTTAATATTAGATATTTTTAATTAAAAATAGTTTTCAAAAATAGTTTATAACGTAAAATCAAATACTTAATTAGCATAAAGCAATTTTTATATTTATTTAATATTTATATAATTATTAATTTGGAACCGTTCTCTTCGCGTGCACGTATACATTTCGTGTCGCAGAGAAAATGTAGAGGACAGTGTCTGTCACCGTTGAGTTCAAAAAGCAATCAGCAAAACCCAAACAAACAAGCAAATTCTCATAATCGCCAATCCATTCATGGAGGACAAAACAGCGGCATCAAATCTCGATCTCAGTGACACTAACAACGCTGCCTTAATCGACGGTTTCTGCGAGATCACCTCTTCTTCTAAACAAGAAGCCCTCTTTTTCTTAGAAAGTCACCAATGGGATCTCGACTCCGCCATCTCTACCTTCATGGACAGCGACTCCGACCCTCCTCTCGTAACCGCAATCCCTCCTCTTCCTTCTCATCCTGTTAACTCTCCTTCTCCGTCCTCTCCACAGTCTCACTCCCCCTCCCAGTCACAGTCTCGCTCTCGCTCTCCTTCTCGGGCTCCCAACAGGATAAGATCGAGGGATAAGAAGCCCAGCGCTAATCGGACACGTGGCGGAGTCAGAACTCTTGCTGATCTTAATCGGATTCCTGATGGTGGGTCCGGTAGCGATGATGACGATGATGAGGAGCCGCAGCAGTATTATGCTGGTGGTGAAAAGAGGTATCTAAACCCTAGAATTTTAAATTAATTAAGCTGAATTGTCGAATTAGGGTTAGGGTTAGTTCAATTTTGTGTTAATCGAAAGTTTTTTTTTCCAGCGGAATGCTGGTTCAAGACCCTACCAAACGTCACAATGTGGATGCAATTTTTGACCACGCTAGAAATTCAGGAGCAACTGCTGATCACGTTCAGCCGTCTTCAAGTTCGAGAAGCTTTCCTGGAACAGGGAGATTACTTTCAGGGGATACAACTGTTCCACCTGCTCCTCAACCACCTGCAGCTGTCAATCATACTGTCACTCTATGGAGGAATGGGTTCACCGTGGATGATGATGGTCCTTTAAGGAGGTTTGATGATCCTGCTAATGCCTCCTTTTTGGAAGTAATTTTTTAACCCTGTTCTTTATTTTCAAGTAATTTTTTTACGAGGCTTTGAGGACTGTGAGGACTGGTCTAGTTTGCAAGGTAAAAGGTTATTGCGATTGGATCTAAGCACGATAATATTATTGGAGTGCAAGTTGGATTTGCGAACCGTGTCAGATAAGCAAAACAACATGCTTTTTTAATGGTACACCATTGTTAATTGGTTTCACGTTTGCAAGTATCTTTCTGACTTCTGGGTTTAGCTTGATTCTTTTCTGGTTAAATGCTGGATTTAATTTCGCAGTAAATTCTGCTTTATCCAACTTCCATTGGATATCTGAAGTTATGATGCTAATGGAAGGAATTGCAATTCGTTTAGTGTTCACCCTCTAATGGAAAGTTGTGCTTATTTAAATGCTTTTCGTGCAGAGCATCAAGCAGTCTGAGTGCCCGAAAGAGCTTGAACCAGCGGACAGGAGGACTCAAGTGCATCTTGATCTCATGAGGCGAGAGGAAAACTACTCTGTGAGTTACCTTTTTCCACATTATTTTTCTTAATAAAATTTTATTTTCTGTTTTTATCTTTTCATCACTGTTCCCTCGACCTCCTGTTTTTATGCAGGAACCAGAGAAGCCTAAGATTCCTTTCCAAGGTGTGGGAAGAGCTTTAGGTAGCACCAGCACCCCTACCGGCCCTGCTGCTTCTGAGCCAACTGTTGCTGTTGCTTCTCTCAAGGCTGCTCCCCACCCAACCCCAGATCTAGTTATAGATTCTTCATCACCAACTACCTTAATTCAGCTCAGGTTAGCAGATGGCACTCGCATGGTCCCTCGCTTCAACTTAAACCATAATATTAGAGATATACGAGCCTTCATTGAGGCATCAAGGCCAGGTGGGGCAAGCAATTATCAACTGCAGATAATGGGATTCCCTCCAAAACTACTCACGGATCCCGACCAGACAATCGAGGAGGCCGGCATAGCTAGCTCTGTTGTTATCCAGAAATTCTAACTGGATTTTTCTTCCACTTAATTGGACTCATGACACTTACATTAAATATGCTTTTATTTCCAAAGGTCATGGAATTTGTTTACACGTAGAAAGTTTTATTTAATTAGTCATGAAAATTTATTTTCTTACTAGAACTGATTGAGGCAGCAAGTCTCATCCGCATCAAGTTTCTATAGTTTGAGGAGACAGCAGAGCTAGGTATTCAGGCCCTATACGCTTAAACAGTTGGAATATGTCCTGCTGCTTAGGGATGATTGAAAAATCTGAAAAATTGAGAAAATTAAAAAATATATTAATTGAGAAAACTGAACTGAAAAGTAAATTAAATAAACTAATTCAAAAAAAAATCTAGTTGAATTTTAAAAGTTTAAAATCGATTGAATCAAACTGAATTGGATTGATTCAGTTTCAAGTTTTAATTTCAATTCAAACTTAGATGTAAAAACTTATTTTTTTTTACACTAAAACTCTATTCCTTTAATTTCCTTTTCTCTCACAGCCACCCTCCCCTCCCTCTATAGTTTGCTCATCTCTCCCTCAACCCTCTCTTCTTTTCTTTTTTTCTTTATCTCTGATTTCTTAGTTTTGTGAGGAGTTTGGAGATGGAAAATCTAAGTATTTTTTCATTGT